GCGACCACTGCCCACCACCACGTACCGCTCCAGGATATTAATTCCACCATCTTACATACACTTGTCATTATATGCTTTGTATGTGAACAAACTCATAAATGGGATTTCTCAATTTGTCTTAAACTCAGCGAAAATCAAACAATCTTTCGTTAACGGTTTTCTGTTCAACAGTCCCGAACAGAAAATGAAAAAGTTAAAAACTCTAATTCAAATCAACGAGGAAAGTATCGAGAAGGGATCAAACAAGTCATTATTTTGCCTAAACGGTGTATATGTAAATACAGTTAGTAATGGGAATCATGAAGCTGTCTCCTCAGTGGGTATAAATGACATTAGATTACGTAATCATCTGTGGGAGTATATTATACTTCATTTGGTTTCACGAAACAGAATTGCTGATCATTGTCAAAACGTAATGAATAGTGTACGATAATTCCAAAATTAAGAAATATTTTCAAAATTTCTAGTTGTAAGGAAAAACTACTGACTTCACAGTAGAAGATTTCAGCTACATGCTTCATAATCGACGATTTGGCTGCATCAGAAGAATGCTTCTCGTTAATCGTTTATACTTATTATATACCAACATTTTGATCTCGTTCACGTTCTCATTGGGGATAGATAAGGAACAGGAACAGAATAAGTATAAATCTATATAATAAGTATCCATCAATATGATTAAAGTTCAAAGCTTCGAATGAGCGAAAATGTGTTCAGTTCAAATAATCTTCTCAAAACTATGAAGTTATGATAAAGAAATTATTCAGTGAGCATGTAATATGCATAATTGCTCAATCCACAAAAATTGTCATCTTGATAAAAGAAGAAGTTGGACGTATTTCGAAGGAGACATGAACCGGAGAGTATCATTCCTCACGATGTTCATGTTTCCAACTTTTACGTTGATTACTGAATGGTCTCAGCATAATCGAATATAACCATTGAATGAAAAAGTTCTCATCGATTGAATTTCTCCTGGTCACACTGAGTTTAATACACAAGGGGTCGCTGAAGAAATTCTTCAAATGAAAAACTCTGACTGGAACCAGCGTCTCAGTGGTTCAAGTATAAATAGGATGATTTGGAATAGTCAAGCATCAGCTTTACAGCTTATTTCCTTATAATACTCTCATAGACATCCGANTAAAAAATAACGTTTACTTATGCATTCTTTACAGGACGGACAACCAGGAGCCCCAGGAAACGATGGACAACCAGGAGCCCCAGGACAAGACGGGTCCAAGGGATCTTGCGACCACTGCCCACCACCACGTACCGCTCCAGGATATTAATTCCACCATCTTACATA